ATTTAAAGCATTTTGGGAAAACGACTTTCTCTACAAAACGCAAATCAATAGTTACCCCTGCTTCTTCGTTGCATCATAAAACTCGCTTTCGAGCTTTCAAATGCTTCTGTCACTGAGGACAATTTCTACGAGGTCAGCGTCGCTTTTGCTGGAGTCGCTTTCTAGGCACAACTTTAACAGCTTGCATTTTGTGATGGGTGAACTCGTGTCCCATCGTTTCCAGCGCTTGCCTTTTAAATTGCCGAGCTACTTGCTGAAGGGATTCGTGTTTGGACACGGCACTGGACTCGGGCTGGGGGGATCCATGTGATCGCAAGGCACCTCGCAGTTGCGATCAAACGTAAGTTGAATCGGAACAGATATTGGAGGGATCCATCACATCGTAGGCTAAGTAGATACGCAAGTTGTATCGCAAATGGTGAAGATACGAACTAACTTTACGAATCTTCTCGGTCGATCGGAAGGCCGATCGTAGCGAAGCTTTACCTCTTTCTCAAGAGAAAAATATAAGAAATTTTCAAAATTTTCACAAAACCGAAATATATGTTAAACAAATATGGTTGATGAACACGTGTGCAAAATTTGAAGTCGATTTCTTCAAAAATGGCTGCGCTAGAGCGTTTTAAATTTACACGTTGAAAACGGTCACTTTCACGTCATTTTTGTAATTATTTTTTTTAATTTTGAAATTTAAAAAATGTTTTGGGCAATTTTTCGCGTTAATTGCGAAAATCTGACCAAAACATGTATCGCACCATCAATGATCCGATACGCCATCAGAGGCCGCGCCGCGGACAGGTGGGCGCGGCGATACCTAGGCCGCGTGGGGGTTACACTGGTGTTCGGGAAGGGCTATGTCAACGCGAGGCAGGCCGCGGGGGAGCCGGTTGCGGCGCCGGTCCGTATTTGTCGGCGCCTAGCAGTGCAGCGGTGCGTTTATGGCGGAGGGAGGGGAAGCGGTGTAGTGTCGGCAAGGCCACACACAGGAGAGGGCACACGGGCCTCCCCCCCCCCCATTCGAGTTGGGGCCACTAATCTTTAGACCGCCGAAGACCATGTAAAATGAACTGAAATAATGATTAAAAAGACCGGGAGGGCCCATCTCGTTCCCCAGCAGGCCCATACGAGTCCATAAATGCCCAGTAGCGCAGCCAGGGGTATTGTGGTGAAGTTTCAATGGCCCTCAAAAGACCTCAAAGGGCCCACAGATGGGTTCACCGGGTCCTCAGATGGTCTCGAAGGGCCCTCGGTTAGCGTCAAATGGCCCTCATCTGGTGTCAAAGGGCCCTCAGATGGCCAAATGAAGGGCCACAAGATGGCCTCAAAGGGCCCTCAGATGGGTTCAAAGGGCTCTCAGCCAACGTTAAACCTACCTCAGAAGACCTTAAAGGGCGTCAAAGGGCCCTAAACCTGCGTCAGAGGGCCCTGAGCTCGCGTCAAACGACCCTCCGAAGGCCTTAAAGAGTCCTTAGCCTGTGTCAGAGGGCCCCCAGCTGGTGTCAGTGAGCCCTCCTCAGCTGGCGCCAAAAGTCCATCTGAAGGCCTCAAACGGTCGTCAGCTGGAGTACAACGGTCCTCAGATGCCGTCACGCGGCCCTCAAAAGCCTCAAGGAGCCCTTCTAAGGTCTCAAAGGGCCCTCATTTGGCCTCAAAAGGCCCTCCGCTAGCGTTAACCGGACTTCAGAAGGCCTTAAAGGGTCCTTATCTGGTGTCAGAGGGCCCCCAGCTAGTGTCAGAGGGCCCCCGGCCCTCAGTTGGCGCAAAATGGCCATCAGAAGGCCTCAAACGGTCCGTAACTGGAGTCCAACCGCAACGGTCCTCAGGTGGCGTCAAGCGGCCCTCAAAAAGCCTCAAAGGCCGCTTAGAAGGCAGCAAAGGGCCCTCATATGACCCCAAAGGGTCCTCTGCTGGCGTCAAACGGACCTCAGAAGGTCTCAAAGGGCGTCAAAGGGCCCTGAGCTCGTGTCAAATATAAAAGCGCCCTTAGCTGGTGTCAGGAGGCCCCCAGTTGGTGTCAGCGTGCCCTCAGCTGGTGTCAGACTAGTCAGAGAGCCCTCAGTTGGCATCTACTGGCCATCAGAAGGCCCCAAACGGTCCTCAGATGGCGTCCAATTACGGTCCTCAGCTGACGTTAAGAGGCCCTCAAAAAGGCCTCAAAGACCCCTCGGCTGCTGAAGAGGCCCTTAGCCTCAAAGGAAACTCAAGAGACGTTAAACGGCCCTAAAAAGGTTTGAAAGGGCCCTCTGCTGGTGGCAAAGGGCTCGCATATGACATCAATAACAGCTTTGTCAAAAACGGACCTGAGAGACCTTGCCGGTCCCTGGTTATAAGGGACTCCTGTCTCTTGCAGTAACCTGAGTGGCCCACGTTTACTGAGGGGCCCCTGGTTATTGAAGGAGTCCCTGGTTACTGGAAGGACCCCTGGTTATCAGAGGGTTCCCTGGTCACCTGGTGGGTCCCTGATCAATTGAGACCTCCCGATCATCTGAGCGCCCCCTGATTGTCTTGGTCTTGGCGTTGGCGTACAGTTTAAAGTCGTCGGCACACTGCGGCCTCCTCTTTCTCAACAAGTCCCTCTATTTCTTCTGCAGCGAGGGCGATTTCGTCAAAATACTCCTCCATCGCGAAGCCTCGTGCGCAGACGCAGCCTTCGGGGCGCTCGCTGCGCCAACTCTTGACGCCAACTGACGGGCTCCAAATGGAACAGATGAACTCCGAAACGAACGTGGGAATGCCGACACATGATCCCTCCAAATTTACAGAGGAGGAGATGTCCCTGACAGCCCATTTGAAATAGGGGTCACTTTTACACTATAGACGTATGGGGAATTCGACCTTATCGACATGGTACTACGAGGTCAGCTGATCTGCTTAGCATTTAAATCGTAGTAAAACTGGCATTTAAACGCTGCGAAACAACTTACGTACAACGTAGCTCCGATTTGCCGCTCTTTCTTTTTCATCCCTCCGATTTTCTTCCGATCAAGAGAAGTTTCGTACCGAGAGAAGTTTCGCAGCCACGTCCGATATAACTTACGATAGCACGGATCCCCCCAGCCTCGGTCTTATTTCGACGTTCTGCTTGTTCCGCTCGCTGGTTGGTGGCTAAACGTTCTGAAGTAGCGGTCCAGCGCTGATAATTTTCGGACTTCGTCTTTTCAACAGCACTCTTTTATCGCACCCACTCAGCAATTGTTTCGTATCTGTCTCACATTCGGGGCCACACCAGCCATCGTGGTCAGGGCGGGGTAGGAGAGGACGATTGACTCCAGCATGATGTACTCGGAGTTCCACCTCGTGGGCACTAGTGGTGTCAATTTCAGAAAACGTATGTCCAAAGTCCGTCCAATGTCCAATGCTTACGTCGACTGTCCGTCCAAAAATGTCCAAGCCAGCCATTTGTCCAAAGATGTCCGACACTTACGCAATAGTTTACACTCAACACTGTTATTTAATTTGCTTTTCATGTACCGTTACCAGCTTAAAAGTGTTAATCATATCGAAAGCTGAGCTTTCTAATAGTCAATCAATGTTAAACACGATTACTTTTTAAAAACAAATTTGATGTGTAGCAAGCGATTGTCCAAAGTTGTCCAAAGCCTGCTGCCATTGTCCAACCGAATTCCGAATTGGACATTGGACAAAATCGGAATTCCGAAGATTCAAGTTCCGATTGACACCACTAGTGGGCACCGCAGACTTCAGTCCGCGACCGTTCGGTCTCCCGCCTTTATCTTGCTGTTGATGGTCGTTGTTTTAGACCCTCGTGACATTTCTATGACGGCCAGAATTCTGCGTGTATGTAAGGATGAAGCAGATAGGATAGCCGAAACAATATGTATCCGAGACGCTAGGCGCTAGGCCAAATATCAACCAAATATCATGACATATTTTGTAAACATCGATAGCGTTTTGTTTTTGGTGACTGATGATATCGTTCGTATGTCGCTGTCACTCCGGACCGGGCTTGGTTAGGGGTGAGGAGGGCCATGACTCACTTCACTACTCTTGCTTTACGAACCACCACAGAGGGTGTTTTTTTTCTATATGCTATCTTAACATTGGATAGACGTTTGATTAATATCACGTAACATGATAAAGCGATATTTTCTGATTGGAAGAATTGTAAGTATGATCGAAAATTGTCACGGATTGTCTGACTGTTCGGTATAATTCACGGACGTTTAAATAAACGTTTAATTATATCAAGTTTAAATGAACGTTTAATAATACAATGAAACGGACGTTTACTTATTTGTCAGTGGTATAATTAGGAATTAGCTATTCGTTGCTTGTGACATTGGTGAAGGATTTTAGACGAATTGTGCATTCTGTGTCTTTTGTGTAATCATTTTTACCTTGTAAGACCGACGAAGAGCATTGCTCGAAATATATCAGTTATTCTTGATAAGTAAAAAAAAAAACTTTTGATAAAAAACTTTGCACACTTTGAGGATAAGGTCAAGTAATGAAGCAGAATAAAATTCATTTAAAAGCATTTTGGGAAGACGACTTTCTCTACAAAACAAATCAATAGTCACCCCTACTTCTTCGTTGCACCATAAAACTCGCTTTTGAGCTTTCAAATGCTTCGCTTTCGAGCTTTCAAATGCTTCAGTCACTGAGGACAATTTCTACGAGGTCAGCGTCGCTTTTGCTGGAGCCGCTTTCTAGGCACAACTTTAACGGCTTGCATTTTGTTATGGGTGAACTCGTGTCCCATCGTTTCCAGCGTTTGTCGTTTTAAATTGCCAAGCTACTTGCTGAATGGATTTGTGTTTGGACACGGCACTGGACTCGGTCTTATTCCGACGCTCAGCTTGTTCCGGCTCGTTGTTTGGTGGCTAAACCTTCTGAAGTAGCGGTCCAGCGCTGATAATTTTCGGACTTCTTCTTTTCAATAGCACTCTTATCGCACCCACTCAGCAATTGTCTCGTATCTGTCTCACATTCGGGGCCACGCCAGCCATCGTGGTCAGGGCGGGGTAGGAGAGGACCATTTACTCCAGCGTGGTGTTCACGGAGTTCCACCTCGTGGGCGCCGCCGACTTCAGTCCGCGACCGTTCGGGTCTCCCGCCTTTATCTTGCTGTTGATGGTCATTATTTTAGACCCTCGTGACATTTCTATGACGGCCAAAAATCTGCGTGTATGTAAGGATGAAGCAGATAGGATAGCCGAAACAATATGCATCCGAGACGCTAGGCCAAATATCAACAACTCAACATCATGACATATTTTATAAACATCGATAGCGTTTTGTTTTTGGTGACTGATGATATCGTTCGCATGTCGCTGTCACTCCGGACAGGGCTTGGTTAGGGGTGAGGAGGGCCATGACTCACTAAACTACACTCTAAACGGCCTCACTAAACGGCCATGACTCGCGACTCACTAAATATTTTGATACTATTTGGCATAAGGGATTGCTTTATAAATGCAAACACGAATTTGGGATAACGGGACAGTTGTTAAATTGGCTCAAGTCTTACCTGACTGATAGAAAGCAAAGGGTAATTTTAGGCAATGATCTTTCACCGCTCTTGAGTTTGAAAGCGGGCTGTCCGCAGGGATCGGTTTTAGGACCTCTACTAGCATTAATTTTTTTAAATAAACTATTTACCAAGACAAAAAATGACATTCTCTTCTTCGCCGATGACACTTCTCTATACTCTCCCCACGCGACAGACATACAACTGACACAGACTTCACTTCAAGACGACCTGGACGTTATTTACAACCATGGAAAAGACTGGGCGATAACATTTAACCCTGCAAAAACCATTCAACAAACTTTTTCCCACCAACGCACTCCGCAAATTCCAAAATTAAAGGTAGTGTGCCAGCTTTCTTGGACCGTATGGAGTTAATGGCCCAGATAAGGAGAACCGGATTTTTAGAACTTATCCATACCTTCAAAACTCATGGAAACGTCTTAAATTCTTCAAATTTTGAGTACCCCAGTGCGAAATTCGCCCCGACGGGTTGTCGGTCGTACCCCAACCACATTTCACACCACTATGAACAATAAATGCACACACTGAAATCGCTATTACCGATATGCTCATCCAATCAAGTTTCGATAAACCCGTTCATCATCATCTCCTGCGGTTTCGAACACGCCTGTTAGGTGGCTTCTGATGCTCGTCGAGGTCGGAATTTCCAAATACGCGTGGTGCGTCGGGCCGCGCGCTCTGACTTCGGCCAAGAAAAATGCGTCAGCTGATCATTGTCATTTCTGCCACTTGCGTGTGGTGAAATGGGGTCATAACTTATAAGACGGCTTTTTCATATCAATTATTTTACATAAAATCATATTTCAAACCATAAATAATGTTCGACAGCCAAATAAAAGAAACAATACCAATACGGGTTTACAGTTTAAGGCTCGACATTGTGTTGTCTACGATTAGACAGCTGATAACTCATTCCCGTACGTCGTATGGTCGTAACACTATAATGACCTTTGCTTATTGTCACAAGTGCGCCGCATTCGCGATTGTTGCCCGACGCCTGTTTGCAGGTGAGCCCACTACAGTTGTTATACATATCTAAAAACCGAAAAACTTTTAGGCGAAAAAGGCACTATTCCAGACCCATTTTTGATTTTTTTTGCGATATTAGGTAAAAACAGAAGCTTCTTATCCTAGGAAAAATAAAATGGGAAATCTTTCAAAGGTGGCACACTACCTTTAACATTCGGAGGACTCCCCATATAAAGCAATACCAATGAAACAAAATCACACTCACCTAGGAGTACTACCGACCTACGATTCCACGAACATATAAACAATATATGCCAAAAAGTAAACAAAACACTTGGTCCCCTCTACCCCATCGCACGTTACCTACCCAGACAAATACTTGACCAAATCTATAAAATTTATATCAGACCACATTTCGACTATTGTGACGCGATCTACGACGGACATATTACTATACGGGACACAACCAGACTAGAGACATTGCAAAATCGAACTGCGAGACTAGTGACTGGTACACTTTTTAGAACACCGACCGATAATCTGCGAAAAGAACTGGGCTGGGAACTCTAAACGCAACGACGACAAATGCACAAACTCATCCTGTATCACAAACTCAGCGACCCAAACCAGCCCACACCAAATTACATCACGTCCAGAATACCAAATACACGAGCACGCGACACAAACATCATACTAAGAAATGCAAACACCCACACCAGACTTCCTCATCGCACATCATCTTATTATATGTAAGTCATTCTTTCGGCGACAATCAGAAACTGGAACCAATTGCCAGAAACCATCCGTAATCAAAATCATAAATCATTTAAAAAAGAAATTCGCGAGCGGCTGGGGTTACCTGATCCACCTAAGTATTACAGCTTCGGAACAAAGGAGGGAAATACATTACATACTAGAATGCGTACCGAAATGACATACCTGAACTCTCATTTATATAAAATCCTCAAATGTCCTTCCCCGATGTGTGTCTGTGGCTATCCTGACGAAACGTCCCAACATTTGATCCTTTCCTGTCCCAAATATGCGAATCCCAGAACTGAAATGATTAATACTGTAGTCGATTTCACAGCCAGTTAGATAAAATATAGATATTATTGTCAATATCAAGCGATGTTAACACACAAGTAGTCGCACTTCACAGAGGGCTGGAACTCCCCAATAACGACACCATTCCATCCCTGGACTCCGCGACCTGCCGTTCCCCTTCGCTGCTCCCACCGCACTGCCCCTTGCTGCCAGTGATCCCCCGATCTTTCTCCCTCTCCACCAATCCCCTTCGGCAAAAGCCCTGAATTCTCGGGCCTAGCCAATCAGAGCTCACCAACACATCAATAAGTCAGGCTCCTTGATCTGGTTGCCATGGCAACATAACAATTGTCACGAACTTCCTAATTCCGAATTAACACTACAACAATTGTCACGAACTTCCTAATTCCGAATTAACACTACACTCCTCCCTGATCATAATTGATCACAACTACATATATCTCGGGTCTGCCGCCTCCTCGTGCTTCTCCTCAGGGCCGGTGGTGGCTCCGCTGTGCGTGTTCCATTGAGACCAGTCCTTTCTACTTGCGTCAGTCCTCCGTCCCTATCTGCTTGAGCGTCCTCGTTTTGCGCGAAACTGTCCTCTTCCACTTCTGTTTCGTCTGGACCGTCTGCGTCCCGCACATGTCCATGCTGTGGCTCTGAGTCATCTTCTGCTCCTCCCAGAGCTCTTCTGCGCTGCTGTACTGAGATCAGCAGCGGCTCGTCGTCACGGTCGCTGTGCGGCGCTGGAGCGGCCGCCCGATCCGGGCCCTGGTCTGTGACGTGGCGCAGATCTCTGACGTGTCTCGGAATGCCGTCCACTTCAACCGATTGAGCGGACAGCACTTGCGTCACCGTGCCCTTGGCGCTCGGTACATCGCATCGCCTGCTAGGATCCTTGATCCACACCCTGTCGCCGATGCTGAACCGACAGGATATCACCTGCCCGGGGCTCTGCTCATCGTCTCCACCAATTCCACGCACTCGAACCTCGTACGAGTACACCATGTTCGCCGGTGCAGAGCCAGCATCCACATCATCCTTCGGTGTGATGTTGTACAGGTTGACAGCCTCCATGACGCTGCAGCCTGAGCGTGCGACGATGGTCTTCACCGTTCGATGGCACCGCTCGGTGATGCCGTTTCCACTTGGAGAATGGGCACATCTGAAGATGATCTTGATGCCCCACCTCTCTGCAAACTCGCAGAACGCGGAGGCTCGAAAGGCTGGGTAGTTGTCGATCAGCAGCTCCTTTGGCGCACCTCGCTCCAGGAAAACCAGCTCGAGCTGCTGAATCATGCTCCTTGCGTCCTGACGAATCAGCCTCTTCCAGATCGCGAAGCGTGATGGTCCGCAATCTATCATGCTTAGATAGTGACTTCCTTGCACGTGCGTCACGTCCACGCCCACTCTGAACCACACAGTCTCCACGCTCAGCTTGCCTCTGGGCCACGTAGCCGGTGCAGGGTCAATTGACTGGCACTTAATGCAGCGGCGCACCACGCCTTGTACCATTTTTCGCGACACTGTTGGCGACTTTCTGCGGCAGAAGTACAGGGTGCGCCGAATCCCAGGGTGTCCGACTATCTCGTGGATGCGCGTCACCTCTGCTGACGTCAGTTCCCCGGCAGCAGCACATACCGGATCACCGACTTCTTTTCTTTTCAGCCACCTGTTAGGCACTCGGGTCAAGCTGTCCGCTTTATTTTCTGCAGACGGCACGAAGTGGACGTCTATTCTGAGGTCGTACTCCTCAGCGATGGAAGTGATCGTTTGAAGACGTCGGCGGATCAAAAGCTCACTGGCCGCTTTCGTTTTGATCCGAGCCTTCCCCGATAGCGCGTCAGACAGCCAGTGGAATACGGTTTGCGAGTCGGTCATCAAACGGATATCCTTCATATCCCACGCTACCGCCAGGTTCAGGCCTTTCAGGACTGCTTCCAGCTCTGCCAAATTGATGTGGCCGCAGTCGTCCTTCCTGAGCCAGCTCGCGTCTTCTATGACGTCACCGTTCACCTCCAGTACCGCTCCGAGAGCCACTGAGCTGGCGTCCACCCAGAGAGTAGCCGCGTCGCCAGAGACGTCCCATCGGCCGCGAGCCGGGTCGCTCTCCCGTACTCGGCTCACCATCTCGCTCATCATCTCCAAGACCTGGGGGTCTTCGACCGGATCATCCCATGCCGCCGTTACGGCATTGGCTCTTCTCTTCACAAACGAGGCGGCGACTCGTAGCCAGCCACAGACTGGAAGGTGACTTACCAGCCGCCCGCACAACGAAAATACACTTCGGCGTGTCGGGCGCTGCGGAATCTGTCCCATCTCATTGTCACGCTCCCATCTCAGCCGCTCTCCCTCCTCTCGGACACGAAGTCCGAGCACACGAGCTCCATTGCCACTCACGCGTTCTGCGGGCTTGCATTCGAGCCCATATTGACGCAGGTGGTCCTCAACGCGCTCGGCGCTGACCACACTTTCATCCACGAAGATATCGTCCATATATGGCGATGTTGCGTCACGGATCTTCTCGTCGTGGTTCAGCACGGTGGCGACCACCCTTTTCAAGATCTGTGGTGCTGATTTCAGCCCAAACCCGAGTCTGGTCAAGCAGTACCGTTTCCCTCCAAAGACGACCGTCTGGTACGTCCACAGCGATCTGTGAACGTGAATCTGGAGGTATGCCTTCTGCAGATCGATGAGTGCGACGTTTGTCCCCTTCCGCCGCCACTCACGCAACTTGTGGGCGCACACATCGGCGTCGGCCGTGTGGGTTGTCACGTACTCGTTCAGTTCGCGAAAATCCATCACAGGCCTCACTTTTTCTTTGTTGGGCTGAACGACTGCCATCAGTGGCACGGTTCCTCGCACAGGTCCATGCTCCTCCTCGTTGTAAGGTATCAGCCAGCCATTGGATACCCACTCCTCCACTTCCTCTTGATACTTGTCCCTGGCGGTCGGCGCCATCCGATACTCTGCTACCGTGTTTCTTAATTCCTTTGTTCCCTTCTCATCGTTCCACTTCCATGTTACAGTCCATTTTCGGTCTCTCTCGTTATAGTTGACTCTGAAGTCCGACTCATCGATTTCCATCACAGCCGTTGCTGTAATTGCAGCTTCTGTTTCGACACCAAACTGACACTGCCTCTCCGACAGAACGGTCACGCCGCCGAGGGCTTTTATGCCGTCCATTCCCAGGATCATGTCAAGGCCCAGCGGCTTCTCTCTGACAACCAGCGAGTCAATGTGAGCCTCTGCACCATTGTCCAAACGCACCGAGACCTGCCCTACTCCGTCGCACTCGCTCCGCTCACCGCTCACAGTGAAAACACTCTCACGCTGCCGTTTCCAGTCGGTACAGGCTGAGGCGTGTACGATGCTTCTAGAGCAGCCGGTGTCGATCAAAACCGTGCGCTGACTCCCGTTTACTGACAAGCGCCGGAGCGGCAGGGATCCACTAACGCGAGGCCGGGAGAGGAGGCTGGCGCTGAGGCTTCCTCTCCGTTTCCGTTTCCCGGACACTTAGCAGCGAAGTGTCCAAACTGGCCGCAGCTGAAACAGGATCCTCGGCTCCTCCCTGTCCGGCACTGTCTAGCCAGGTGACCAGTGCGCCGACATATGAAGCATAGTACCGGCCCCTCCCGCTTGGCTCCGCCGTTCAACATAGGCGCTTGGCCGGGCCGTTGGGCCACCGCGGCCACCGTCGTGTAGTCAGCCATCAGCGCACGAGCGCGAGCCACAATTTGAGCGAGATCCAGTGATTCCATTCGAGAACCCGACCTCAGCGCGTGACGCGTTTCTTCAGGCAATCCGGCTACAAAGGCACAGGCAAGGACGCCGTCGTTTACCCCTCCGGCCAGCCGTGACAGACGACGCAGGTCGGCTAAGTAGACGTCTACTGATTCATTCGCTCTGAGCCGGCGAGCCACGAACTGCTCGAACGCCGAGAATTTGTCGGCAGCAAAAGCGGTAAGCAAAGCTTCTTTAATCTTTTTTGCATCGTTTTTACTTTCTTCATCCAGCTGCTGGTACACGCTGAATGCACCTCCTGTGAGTCGCAGAGGAATGACGCTCTCCTGGCTTTCCACTCCTTTCAGACGGCACACCAGCTCCAATTTATCTATCCATTCAGCGATGTCTTGAGAAACTCCATCGAATTCTGGTACCAAACGCAGATCCAAATATCCGCCCCCTGTTCCGGCATCACCAATTCTCACTGCCATTGTAAAGCCGAAATAGCTTGTAGTCGATTTCACAGCCAGTTAGATAAAATATAGATATTATTGTCAATATCAAGCGATGTTAACACACAAGTAGTCGCACTTCACAGAGGGCTGGAACTCCCCAATAACGACACCATTCCATCCCTGGACTCCGCGACCTGCCGTTCCCCTTCGCTGCTCCCACCGCACTGCCCCTTGCTGCCAGTGATCCCCCGATCTTTCTCCCTCTCCACCAATCCCCTTCGGCAAAAGCCCTGAATTCTCGGGCCTAGCCAATCAGAGCTCACCAACACATCAATAAGTCAGGCTCCTTGATCTGGTTGCCATGGCAACATAACAATTGTCACGAACTTCCTAATTCCGAATTAACACTACAACAATTGTCACGAACTTCCTAATTCCGAATTAACACTACAAATACACTGACCCGCATTTCGCCTTCTTTTGCTGACCTTGAACAAACTCAACTATTCCTAACATTGGTACACGGCACTGATCTCGGTGCCGGGTGGTCGGGCGGTGGCGCGCGCGTTTCAAAATTTTTTGATTGACACCGGTAGATTAACTTCGACTCTTGCACGCGGTAAACTTGCTCATGTGGCTGGTGACCGAGGTGGGTTGTGTGGCGGCTGACACCGACATCAGACTTTGGTGCCCGGCGGCCGGTGTTTTATCCCTTGGTTTACCCTTACCCAGACATGGTGCCTCGAGTTAAGTACATTGTGTGCTTTTGCATCATGTCTTATCTGTTTGTTCAACTTTATTTTTGCATGCCTTGACCAATAAACGAAGTGATGATGATGATGATGAACTCCGAGTACATCATGCTGGAGTCAATGGTCCTCTCCTACCCCGCCCTTTGCCCGCTCTGACCACGATGGCTGGCGTGGCCCCGAATGTGAGACAGATACAAGACAATTGCTGAGTGGGTGCGATAAAAGAGTGCTATTGAAAAGACGAAGTCCGAAAATTGTAAGCGCTGGACGGCTGCTTCAGAACGTTTAGCCACCAACCAACGAGCGGAACAAGCTGAGCGTCGAAATAAGACCGAGTCCAGTGTCGTGTCCAAACACAAATCCCTTCACAGCAAGTAGCTCGGCAATTTAAACGACAAACGCTGGAAACGATGGGACACGAGTTCACCCATAACAAAATGCAAGCTGTTAAAGTTGTGCCTAGAAAGCGACTCCAGCAAAAGCGACGCTGACCTCGTAGAAATTGTCCTCAGTGACTGAAGCATTTGAAAGCTCGAAAGCGAAGCATTTGAAAGCTCGAAAGCGAGTTTTATGGTGCAACGAAGAAGCAGGGATGACCATTGATTTGTGTTTTGTAGAGAAAGTCGTCTTCCCAAAATGCTTTTAAATAAATTTTATTCTGCTTCATTACTTGACCTTATCCTCAAAGTGTGCAAAGTTTTTTATCAAATTTTTTTTAACTTATCAAGAATAACTGATATATTTCGAGCAATGCTTTTCGTCGGTCTTACAAGGTAAAAATGATTACACAAAAGACACAGAATGCACAATTCGTCTAAAATCCTTCACCAATGTCACAAGCAACGAATAGCCAATTCCTAATTATACCACTGACGAATAAGTAAACGTCCGTTTCATTGTATTATTAAACGTTCATTTAAACTTCATATAATTAAACGTTTATTTGAACGTCAGTGAATTATACCGAACAGTCAGACAATCCGTGACAATTTTTGATCATACTTACAATTCTGCCAATCAGAAAATATCGCTTTATTATGTTACGTGATATTAATCAAACGTCTATCCATTGCTAAGATAGCATAAAGAAAAAAACACCCTCTGTGGTGGTTCGTAAAGCAAGAGTAGTGAAGTGAGTCATGGCCCTCCTCACCCCTAACCAAGCCCGGTCCGGAGTGACAGCGACATACGAACGATATCATCAGTCACCAAAAACAAAACGCTATCGATGTTTATAAAATATGTCATGATGTTGAGTTGTTGATATTTGGCCTAGCGTCTCGGATACATATTGTTTCGGCTATCCTATCTGCTTCATCCTTACATACACGCAGAATTCTGGCCGTCATAGAAATGTCACGAGGGTCTAAAACAACGACCATCAACAGCAAGATAAAGACGGGAGACAGAACGGTCGCGGACTGAAGTCGGCGGTGCCCACGAGGTGGAACTCCGAGTACATCATGCTGGAGTCAATCGTCCTCTCCTACCCCGCCCTGACCACGATGGCTGGCGTGGCCGACAGAGAGGAGATGATCCGGCACATGGAGGAGCTGGAGGAGGAGCTGCAGGCGGTGCTGTCCCAGGGTATATTGAGTGAAGTGGTGTCCACGCTGGGCTTCTTCGACGACGCCAGCAAGCAGCTGTCGGCGTCGAAACAGCCGACACGCTTCTTGGTGCCGCTGATGGTAGAGCAGTCCCGCCGCCATCTCCAGCCCGACGCCGCCGACCGTCCTCTGGTGGAGAAGTTTTTTATGAGAATGAAACGAAAACTGAACAATTTTTATAATCAAATTTTTGTTTTAGGCTGCACAGCCGTGTGCAAGGATTGGAATCAAAATCCGAAAGGTTTTTGGAATTTGGAGAAACTTTTTGGGATTGTCTCCCGCAACGTTTAAGACCATCTTTCTGGAACCGCCAGTGATCACCATAAATGCGTAGACATAAGAGTAAAAGTTCTGCTGCCGATTTCGGAATAATCCAGAACCTGACAGAAGCTGACGAGCTCCTATCCTCCACAACCGATCAGTCTGTGACGCAACCTGCCCTTTGATCATTGGGTGTTACCGAATGACCCGAAACCGCAATAGGTCACCTGGCTAGGCAGGTCGCAGTAGGAGTCGGCCGGTGAGACAGATTCTTGATGGCACGCTTACCCCGGATCACGGGACAATGGGACAATACAGTTCAGTTCTGTTCTGTGCGGTCATATGTGTGTTCATGCAGGTGAGAAAATGATGCTATTTCTGCTCTGGCTCTAGTTAATATCAGCTGTCGTAGGAAAAGGACTTTGTAATTTGTCATTGAGAATGTCTACTATCTTTAGACATTACCAACAAATGAAGCATCTTCTTGGCGTTTGAATTGAACTAAATTATGACATAGCTTCAACTATACATATGTTCCAGGTGAAAGAGGACAGCTATGTTCTGGGCTGCAAGCATGGCCAGCTGGGGGTTTTCTCCAGGAACCAGTTGGAGCCGTGCCGTGAAAAAAAAAAACACCTGGCCGTCGAAGATGTTCCAGAGCGGAACATCTCTGTCCGGGAAGCGAGTTACCTAAGTGTGGAACTGCATTTACTCACCCGTCGATTCTAGGGCTCTGATTGGTGACTTCGGGGGTTGACGCTTATAGCATGACGTCACTCACGTACTCGGCTGGACCAACGGCGCAGCGCAGGCGCGCCGAGCCAATCCAGAGGCTCTCAAACTCAATTGTACAGATTCTGTGCATTGAATCGCGAAACTTTGGCGAGTTCGCCTGAGTTTGGAAGCCCCTGCCGGAGAACTGGAGAACGGCGGTTTATTCGCTGGACAGTCGACAGCTCAGATGTCGATTGACGGTGCCAAAAGATGATAGGGAGAAAGGAGTTCAGCAGTGAATTATAAGCCTGTGCTTGTGCATAGCTGAGTAATTAATTGTTAAATGCTTAGGCTTGGAAGAAATGCAGCGTAGTTTAGCCGAACCACTGGGTATTCTTTGGGTATTATGCCGAGTTATGTAAGGCGGAAGGGTCGCAAGTCGTTTGTTTCCATGAATGCACTAATGAAAATGTAAAGCGTAATGTTAAGTTGTAATTGTTTATTCAGTGTGGTTGGGCATCTGCTCAATCTATTTCTTCTCTGCATAGTGCATTCGCCACTAATTCATTTTAAGAGGCACTGTGCTGCGCCGCCTGTTTATTAGTCCGAAACATCAGTGAATTCATTTGCTGTAGCTTGTGGGGAGGATACCCATGTTTGAAAATTATGTTCGGGAGTGATGCGATGTGGAAAAGGTTTGCTGAATAGAGGGCTGTCGAGAAGATGCAGATTTTCTCATTTGCTAACCGATACAACGCAAAAAGGCGCAAATGTTGCTCTTTTCAGGGCTTAAGTCTAATAAAAGATTAGGGACTTCGTGAATCATGCCTATTGACCGCGACCCAGTTATTTGCCACTGGGTAGGTACTACACCTTTTTTCATTGCGAGTCGGCATCTGTGCAGGTCATATAGACTGCTTTCATTTAAGCCGGCAACAGGCGTGGTCTTTCGACATTTGCGCGCCTCTCATCGACACAACGCGCCTTCACGATAAGGGGCATTGAAAATAGGCAGTGTGCACAACTTCGACACTGTTCAGTGGATTTAGACATAGCGCACTGAATATGACAACGTCCATCTGATATAGACGGGCGTGAATCAATTTTGACAAAGGTCTTTTAATTTCGTTTACGATTATATCAAACTTCATCGTATACATATAATCAATATGTATGAGTTGAGCGTTCATAATCGACATACCCATTAGCGCTCACCTTTGCCGTTCCGGGTGTCAGAAGATGGTTTACTTACGGATTGAACTTCCCTTCTAACCTGCTTTCGCGTTTTGGCGTATCACGGTCTCGACTTCTATCTCGTCCCTTTGTCGGTTCTTGCTTCCTTTCCGTATCTGCTACATGCTGAAAGACCGACCCGAAGGGCAGATAGAAGGAGACTGGAAGGACGTAGGACAGGTGGTATTGGGCAGTGGGTGGGTGGGAAATTGCTCTGGCGTGCCGTTGTCGGGCGGATGTTCAAACAACAGGCTGTTGCGGCGTTGCCGTTCCGCGAAATAACAAAGCGCATAATAATTAGTTAATATTGATTTCGTGGTGGTAGGGCAGTGTACAAGACTGGCTAAATATTCGATAAGTATTAAATAATAAAGCAATTTTCCCATAGAACTTGTTTTCAGGCTGCGCTCCCTAGATATATAATAAACTCTGGCCGCTCGACGCGCCATCTATGCTCCCGTGTACGGACACTCTCCGCGCGGGGCCAGTAGGCACCCGCCCGTCGGTGTGCGTGGGCCGGCCGGTAGACACCCGTCCGTCCGGCGCTAATGTTCCGTGCTGCATCGCGTTGCACAGCACGGTGCCATTAGCGCTCACCTTTGCCGTTCCGGGTGTCAGAAGATGGTTTACTTACGGATTGAACTTCCCTTCTAACCTGCTTTCGCGTTTTGGCGTATCACGGTCTCGACTTCTATCTCGTCCCTTTGTCGGTTCTTGCTTCCTTTCCGTATCTGCTACATGCTGAAAGACGCCAAAGAAACGCCAAAGTGTATTCCAGTCATTAGGGGCGGGGCCATTCTACGGGGCAGGGGCCGCGTTGACAGCGATGCGCGCTTCCCACACGTCCAGGCGGCGCCCCCGGATGTACCGGAGGTGCGATGACGAGGCCCACCGACCGGATGCACGGATCGCGCCGTCGGAGGCGCCGGTGGCTGCGGCGGCGGTGGCGAACCCAATCCGCAGGCTATGCGTGGTGAGCCGCCCAGCGTCCGAGGGCGCGTAACGGCGAAGTACGCCGTTTAGCCAGGCGATCGTGCCGTACGCGCCTGATGCCCGGATAAACAGTGGTTGGTCTGGAGGCTGGTCGGCGACGTTGCGAAGGTACCTCCGCATAGCCTGGACTGGACATCCGGGGCCGGAGACACTGGGTAGCTCGACGGTGGCTCCCCGATACGCTTGGTCGGTTTTGGACGCCGGGATATGCAGCACAAGACGGTCCCGGTGTAGTGTGACATGCCGGCGGGCGCACGTGCGGCGGCGAGAGAACCGGTGCGCACTTGGGGCCAGATACTCACTTCCGCGTAGCGCGCCGAAAAATCCCAGCGTGATTGCCGCCCATGCTGCCCTCCGGTCATGCGCTGACATCGAGGCCCGCCGGAGTCGCCGGCGCAGTCGCAGCAGGATCGGCACGGACGCCGGTCGCCGGCCGGGCGGGCGTGGCCCCTGGCTGTCTCTGCTGATGGCCCGCAGCGCTAACCGGATTCGTTCCGTCCGGCCGGGCCAGGGTCGCTCCCGCGTGGCGTGCCAGTGTCGCAGTGCCGCCAGATGGGATGAAGCGAGTCCCGGGGAAGTGTTGTTGAGACTGAGGTGGGCGAGGAAACGAAGGACTGTGCGCTCTGTGGCGGGGATAGCGGGGAGGTTGTGAGAGGCGCAGAAAGTCTGGAAGGTAGCGACACACCGCCGATACGCTCTTCGCGTTGCGGGTGCGAGTCCGTCCCGGATGAGCCGGCGCGCTTCCGTGTCTAAATCGGGTAGCCCGACGCCGTGGTGCAGGTTTCCGTCGGCGCTTCCAGGAAGGCCGTCATCGCGGGCGGTACCGGCGTGGGCTCGGCCGCTGCCGCTGGATGCAGGCGGCGGAAACGGCCGATCTGGGAACGCGAGAGCGCGTCAGCGGAGCTGTTGTCTGTGCCGGGCACATGTACCACTCGCAGGTCGAATGAGCGCGAGGCAGCGACGAAAAGCGTTTGGCGTATGAGCGACATGAGACGCCGGTCCCGTGACCAGCCTTTGCTCCATGCCCCGACCACCCCGGCATTGTCACAGTGTATGGACACCCGCATGCCCTGCCAACTATGGCCCCATAGCAGGCACACTGTCAGGATCGGGATCATCTCGAGCCAGGAGATGCTGGAGGCCCAGCGCAGCGTGGCTGCTGGCCACTGCTGGGAGAACCAGTTCGGCCCGCAATGGCCACCGTGCCCCACTGTGGATGCGTCGGTATGGAGGTGAAGGTGGGCGGGCGGTGTCCAGTGCGGGTGGAGGAGGGGGGCTGACCCGTTCCAAGTCGGTAGGATGGAGAGCCACCAATTCAAGTCTCTGCGAGTGTCAGTGCTCATATTGACCCAGTGGTGGGGGCGCTGTGCGGTGTGAGCTGTGTCGAGGAGCCGTCGGAAAAAACTGCGCCCTGCTGGGATACATTTGACGGCATGAATGAGCTTGCCCGCGAGGCTGAGAAGGCGCCGCTGCCGGATTGTGCGAGAGGCTCGCACCTCTTCCAGGAGCTGGATGAGAGCGCGAAGCTTGGCGGACGGCAGTGAGATGGTCATGCTTGCGGTGTCCAGCACGCAACCGAGGAGCTCCATGCGGGTGGATGGTGGGCAGCATTTGTCAGGCGAGACGGGAATGCGGCATCGGTGACACAGGTCAAGGAACGTCTGGTACGCTTCGCCGCATGCGTCCGAACCTGCCGGTCCGATGAAAAAGAAATCGTCCAGATAGTGATGAATGTTGGCGTGGTTGGCGTGGTGTCGTGTGGCAATTGCGAGCAGATCGGCGAAGTCGTTGAAGATGGAACAGGCTGACCGCAAACCGAATGGTAGCCGGAGGTCAACATAATATGCTCCCTCCCAATGGTGACCGAGCAGCCAGCGCTGTTCCGCGCGAACGGGGATGAGTCTGAAGGCATGTCGGAGGTCGGCTTTTGCGAGAAGCGCGTTCTGGGGTCCGGCGGAGAAGATATGAGCAATAGCACTGTCCATGGAGGTGTAATGTACGGCAAAGGAATCCTTGTCAATGTGACTGTTGACGCTGAGTCCTTCCGGTTGGGACAAATCTAGAATCAGGCGGACGGAGCCGTCGGGCTTGTCTCTCGCCCCGAGCGGGTTGCAGCGGAACGGGGAGTACGGTGGTGATGGGAATGGGCCAGCCGTGTGTCCCCGTGCCACCTCTTGTTGCACCGCCCGGGAGACTGCTGCCGGTCGCGACCGAGCCGAGAGGTTGTTGGGTCGCCAGGTGGATATCTGTGGGCCCGTGTATCCTATGTCGGCTCCGCGCTGGAGACGGTCGAGGACGGTACGGAGAAGGCCGGGATCGACTGCTGCGGCGGCTACGCCATGTAGGGAAGGTATGTCGATAGGTGTGGTAGGAGGGGGCAGGGATGACCGGATGAGGGCGTGCGACTGGCTTACCGTGGGATCTACCGCCACAGTGGGCGGGGGGGCCGTGCTCCGGTCGGCTGCGGAGGGCGTGCCGGCGCCAGGGGGCGCGCGCTTTGCGTCGGGCAGCTTCTGGCGGTGTGCGGCCCTTGGCAGCGGTGGCAGACGTGTCGGCGCCCGCATGCGCCTCCGGGTGGGCATGATCGTGCGTGGTAGTTGAACCGGAGGCATATTTCGTTTCCCTGCCGCTGCTGCTGGGTGGCATACGGCTGTGCCTGTACCGGGGCTGGCGCGGGGGCGTACACTGCTGGTGCCGCGAGCGCTTGTCCGATGGCTTCCGTCAG